TGGGGTCTAATCATATTTTAAAAGTTTTTGCACATCAAAACAAATCACCAAGTGGAAAGAAAACCCAGAGAATGGGGAAAAATTTTAGACAACTCTCCCTCAGATAAAGGATTTCTATCTAGAACATACAAAAAAACTAAAAAAAACTCAGGCCTCCCCAAATTCAAAGACTTACTCCAAAAATGAGCATTGGAGATAAATATACACTTCTCAGATGAAGAAACACAAATGGCAAATATATATATGGAAAAATATTCAACATCATTGGTCATTTGAGATATGCAAATTAAAAGAACTCTGAAATTCAATTTCTCTTCAGAAAGAATGGCTACCATCAAGAAATCAACCAATAACAAATGCTGGCAGGGCTGTAGGGGTAAAAGAACCCTTCTCTATTGTTGGTGGCTCTGCAGACTGGTACAACCACTGTGGAAATTAGTGTGGAGATTCCTCAAAAATTTAGGGTTGGAGATGCCATTTGACCTAGCTATTCCCCTTCTGGGCATCTTCCCAGAAGAATTAAAAGCATCATACCACAGCAATATATATGTACCCATGCATATAGCAGCAGAATTTGTAATAGCTAAATCTTAGAAATAATCCAAATGTCCATCAACCAAGGCCTGGATAAAAAAAGATGTGGTATTTTTATACAATGGAATACTACTCAGCTATACAGAAAGATAAATCCGAGGCTTTTATAGGTAAATGGATGCGACTAGAGACCATACTCGTAAGTGAAACAAATTAGACTTGCATGTGTAAACATCGTACTGTCTTCCGAGTGTAAAAAGCTGAAAGAGTAAATAAATAAGATCCAAAATGTAAAAGTGAAAGAGGAAGAAATTTCTCAAAAGGAAAAAAGCAACTGGGTTGGGGGAAAGGGAAAACAAAGAAGGGGAAAGACTCTCTGTCTCTATCTATCTATATATGACAGTCATATTACTAATCTCTACGAGTTCAACAAAAAAAGGCTTGTGTTTTCACTGCTTCATTATTTTTCCTTGTCTATATCTTGTAATCTGAGCAACTACTTTGAAGATAACTAGGGTTAATTTCCTATTATTTTGTTTTGAACTTCTGTATCATCCCTTTTATTCTTTTTTGGTTTTAAAATAAAATAGAAACATACTCCAGGGAATGGCAACAATAACAACAAAAGATTAGTATAATAAAGTTATAGTGATGTCTAAAAAAAAAAAAAAAACCATCTCTTTTTCTCAAAAATGTTTGGAATATGTGCTTCTATGAACCACTGAAATAAACCAATGAAAAGAATGACAAGAAACCCAGATAACAAAAAAAAAAAAAAAAAAAAAAGGAAAAAAGTCTCAGGAAAATGGTGACCAGAAATCTCAGGACCACAGGCTTACAGACTGATCAATCTGTATCAGATTAGGACCACAAAGAACTGCAAAGAGAGTCTCAGGAGAAAATGATAAAAGTACCTGATTCTGATTTGCTTCAGAGGATTTCCACTGTTCTGTTAAAAAGTTACAGTAAGTTAGGTAATATTAATGATATTAATTAGAATAGTTAATAAAGGAAAAGAGCAATTACAACTAGGAAAGAATGGAAATTTAATCACAGCACACTTTGCTTCCTCACTATGAACAATATTTATTTATGTCACCAACGGCACAGTACCTCCCTGGCAAGCATGATGTCCTGAGTTCATTCCCAGTACCAAAAAAAAATATATATATATAACCAAAAGTTTTAAATACTGTATATTATTTTAAGCCAAAATGGATGAACACACGTGGAAACAGAAATATAATAGAGAAAATCATTTTGATGCATCTTTTATTCTGTACTAAAGTCACTTTCCCTCCAACACTGCTTCCTGGATCTTCTCCTTCCCTTGGCCTTTAGGAGCCTGCACCGCACAGAATCTACTCCAAAATCTTCTATTAGGGCAAGAAAGTACTTCAATTTGTCATTCTGGAGAAGTGGCAGGAGTAAAAGATCGTCCCAGTACCGTCAGGTCGCCACAGATCTCCTCCTGTTCTTCCATTCACTGGAGCCACCAATGTCCCCTGGTGATGGCTGTTGTAGCCCTGTGAATGGCCCAACAAGCCACCGGTAGGTACTTGATGACAGTTGGGGAGTTCCTGGTTCTAAGAGGAGTCACCAGTTTCCTGTCTTCCTTGAACCACCTCCATCACATTTCCTGACACCACACAAACCTTAACTATTGCTTCTAAGGGTCACGGCTGGTCACCTGTATTTGCTAAAGACACCATGCACAGGTTTCGGTTTTACCCCACTAGTTGTTCTAATTATATGAAAAGTTTTGAAACCTATTGCCACTGTTATCTTCGCAGAACCATATTTTATTTGACCTTTTTTGTTATCCTCAAGTATTATTTTAATAAGTATATTAACTTTAAGGAGAGGGATACAGAACACATCAGAGAGATGTCTCACCTTTCATATAAGGGTTTTAACTGACTGCTTTTTTTAAAATTAAAAATGAGTATCAAAGTCCCACTGTTATCATTCATGTTATTAGCTATGCATTGACTTTTGAAGTTCTATGACACCCAGTACCAATAAGCATACCTAGCATCTAGACCTTGGTTTCTAAATAATATTCTTTAATGGTGGGGAGAGAGCTAGTTAAGAGAAATGAGTGATTTCAGGTCAGAGGAAGAAAGTAACATAAACTGGGAATACCTCATGGAAGCAGAAATTAAGAAAGTGCTCAAAATAAAATGATAACAATCTCTCAAAAGAACTCCATAAACAATCTAAAAGAGCTCCTTCCCAGTGGCCAAAGCAGAACAATCTGACCAATACACTAATGCTAGGTTTCCCAGGTAAAATACAGAATAGTCAGTTAAATGTGAATTTAGATACACAGTGACTTTTTAGTATAAAATGACTTATTGTAATACCCAGTATGCCAATTTCCATACAACATGTATAAGTTGTTATTAATATAACTATCCAGTAAAATGTGTGATTTTTTTGGTACCATGTGGACTTAATCACTCTCAATAACTCCTTTCATTTCTTCTAGGATGACATTATATCTAATTAGTGGGTATCTGTGACACAAGTGGACCTACCTTATAATCACAGATAAAGATTATGCAGACTAGTATGGGAGAAATCAGATAATCAATTCTCACAATATTAATAATATTTAACTTTCTTAATAAAAAATACAATGCAAGAACTGTGCAATCTTATACATTTTAAGTGGAAGTGTCAATATTCTTCCTAAAGGTGACATTTCATATTCTGGTTTTCCCCTTAAAATATACCACTTAAAATTTATGAAAAGTCATATGCTTCTTAGCAAGATAACGGAATCAAAATGCTCTGTGCACTCTCTTACCTTTTAAACATTGTATCTATGTCAAAACTTTCACAAGAGACTGCGGCCCTTCCAGGGGGAGAACCAGCAGCAGCCCCTGAGATCCACCCCATGTTGGAACTTAGGATGCTGTGAAACCAAACAACCAGCCTGCCTCCCTGCTAAGCAATAGTGAACCTACTGATATACGGCCTAGAGTCAAACATCCCACTTCCCTTACCCTACTTCTCCTGTCCACCCCCGTTAGAAATGGGAACCAGAAATCTGAGTGTCTCCTGGGAGGTTGACCATAGCAAATAAGGGTGACTCCTTCTACCATCTCTTTGAAGGCAAATATTTTTATTAATGTTTTGCTCTATTCTGATTAATAGTACTGATCTATTCAATATTCTGTTTTGATAAGTTCTATAATATTCTGTATTTCACTCATTTTGATATACATGATTGAAAGAACAACTATTATAACGATAACGAAATATACTTGTGATACCTATTACTGTTATCCCGGTAACCTGCTGTGAAGTTCTGTACCAATTTCACTGTACGATTTTAGATGGCTTTATTCTGTCTTGTCTTGTTGTATTTTACCATTTTCAAAATAAAATTTTTAAAAAACTTTCACAAATGTAGGTTAAATCTGAGAATTACTAATTCTTGATGATCAAAAGATCATTGCATTTTTTTTTTACAATGTTAAGTGCAGACGTCTTATAAATAAGTTCTAGTAAAATTATTACAGGCAAAGAGTAGCAATCACCTTGGAATTTTATACCTTTTTTATCAAGTGAATGTTTGTGATCCCCTATTAAATAGTATTTGGAAATGGAGACTTTGGGCCGTAAGGTCATAATGGAGCCTTTGTTAATGAGGTCAGTGCCCTTATATTAAGATGCCTAGAGATATGAGAGCTGATTCATTGCCATGCCCTGCCCCCATATACACTGAGGAAACAGAGAGAAGATGGCCCTCTGCAAACCACCAAGAGTGCCCTTAGCATTCACCATGTTTGCCAGAGCACTGATATGGATTTTGCAGCCACAAAACCATGAGAAATAGATTTCTGTTGTTTTTAGTCATCTAGTCGATGATACTCTATTCCAGTACCCTCAACTGAAACAACCTCCTTAGGTCAAAAGACAAGAACTGCCTTGATTTAGAGTTCAGCAAATTTCACACTGATGAAAAGACTTCCCCTTTGAAGATCTACTTTGACATCTAGCTCGTAAATTATGAACTATTTCTCTTGAAAACAAACTGGAATGCAACATGTGAACACATTTTGACATTTCTTCTGAAACGAAATTCTTTGTGAATTTGGCAATTTCAAAACTATCCTCACTTCACATTTCAAAAAAAGTAAAATTCAAGAACCTCTCCAAGAGTCTGAAAGGGTAAGAATTTTTAATTATAAATTCCTGAGACTACAATCTACTTTAAAAGGGGACTTTTCCAAAAATAAGTTGAATCATTTCATTCATTTGCTTGCTGGGTACTTATGGGTAAATAGTCCTCATATAGTTTGCTCTCTCTTTTCTAAAATATTAAACCACCCTTGGAGAAAATGCATAAAAATTTACTGATAAAAACAACTGGCATCTTTTAGCACAGTGTGATCCTATAATTAGCAAGATATCCCTTCTGTTTACTCGGAGATAAATAAGAAGACTGCACTTACCGAGCTCGGGCTAGAGTGCCTCCTAACTTTAGGCGACTCTTTGCCAGCGGAGGAGGTCTTAAAGTTAATGCAAGCATTGTTCTCAGAATGCACCCTCTTCACTTGATTAGCTGGTTTCTCAAAGGGGTCAAAAGTGCTCTGTGTCCTCTGGACTCGGACCTTTTTATCCTCAGGAATTGTGTCCAGGTGTTTGATCACTGAGTCCATTCCCTGGCAGTTCCGTGTAGACATCTTTGTGACACATATCTGGAAAAATAAAATTAAATTCAGAACTCTCCACTGATACTTTCATAACATTAACGATGCTGACTTATTTTAGAAAGTATCCCAGTTTCAACTTCAGGAAATACCACCAAAGCTCATATTCTAAAAAGCTAGACCAGCGTCAATCACTGTATGAAAGTCCTCATAATCATAATTTAAATCTACTTACACACTTTTACAATTCACATTTTACAAGCTATCCCTAAAACAAGAGCCTTACAGTATGGACCTTTAGTTCCCACTTATTCTTTTTTTTTTTTATTTTAATTAAAGAAAGACTAAACAAAACAGAAAATGGGTAGAAATAATACATACGTTCAAAGAAAAAATAAACAGTAAGAAATCATTAGTTGATGTTTTACATACTGGCCTCTTACAAATAGTTGTTCAAGATACAAAAGTGGAACACATAAAGTGGTTCCCACTTATTCTTGAACTGTCATATCTTTTATCATCTGATTTTAAGTCAGTATTTCTAAATCATTAAGAGGGTAAACAATGACTTATTTCGGAAAAAATAAAAAATAATCAGATGGTCAAAAACTGATGGTCATCACAGAAGCAGTTAACGCAGGCTAGAGAAAAAATGGCACCATGTTAGTCAAAAGTTTTATATTGCAATATGTTAAAATATGTCCACATTTTGAAACATCGCCAAGTTGGAACAGAGCCAAAGAATTGAGCACATTTCTGGATTCTGTACTTTTCAATTCCAAAGCTAACAAATAAAAAGAAACAATATCAATGAAAAACACCAAGTAACACTCATTATAAAGTCTGTATACATTACTCCAGTGGACTGCTAATTCCTTCCCAGTATCTTCATTCTCTTCTTTCTAAGCCTGCTTCACTTTCATTTTGTTTTAGTCTTTCAGTTTCACTCTACTTTTCCTTTTCTGCTCCGATCTTTTCACACTTTGTCCTCTAGAGACTTTGATATTCATAATGAGAAACTGTAAGGTCTCTAGCTTGTCTGTAAATCTGAGTGTTACGGTTTGAATTTTAAATGTCTCCTAAAGGCTTGTGTGCTAAAGGCATGGTTCCCAGTCCAGGGCACACTGAGGATAATGAAACCTTAGGATAATGAGGCCTCATGAAAACAGGTCATTGGGAGCTTGCTCTGGAAAGGTAACTGGAGCCCCAACCACTGCCCCTTTCTCTGTCTGCTTCCCAACCACCACGAGGGGAGCAACTTTACCATATGCTCCCTACCATGATGCCCTGCCTATCACCGGCCCAAACTAACAAGGCCTAGGGATCATGGACTAAAACCTCAGAAACTGTGATCCAAAACAAACCTTTCCTATTTGAAGTTTTTGAACAGATATTTTGTCACAATGAATGACAAAAAGCTACACACTAGGTAATTTTATATTCTGTCTAAAGAAAAGGTAACTTCTAAATGAAATTGCTTTTAGAATATTTTTCTTCATAAAAAAGATTTCTACACTCCTATATGCTATCAAGTAAGGAAAACTAAAAGATACTTAACAAAAATTCATATTGCTAAAGGAAAAAATATAATTTGGGAACTAATATGTATAGGTTGATTTCGTATGAGCAATAAATATACATATACATTGTATATATATATACACATACATATACATACAAGAGAGATACAAATATAGGGAAGTACAGATAGAGACAGTTAATATTTATATATGCAAGCATATATAGAAGCACAGTGAAAAGTCCTGAAGGAAATACACCTTTCTTAACTTTAGGTAGCTCCACACACGTAGAATTATTGCACAATAAATAGTAAAATTAGTAATATTTTTACACTTTTGTATTATTTGAATTATACATATGCTAATTTATGTTATTTTAAAAAATATTAACATAGAAAGGTGTGTGTAATTAAACTAAGCTCTTTAAAGTTTTGTAACCAAAAGACAATTCTAAAATTAAGTATTAAGCATCAACTCTGTACCAAGGAAGTGTCTCCACTACGAAGCACAAGTTAAATTCTAATTGTCAAGTGAGGATATAGCTAAGCTATGGTTTTGGGGGGAAATATTTAAATTTCTAAGCCTAAAGTATTTCCAAGTGAATATTCCTAACCATTTTACATTTATTATTTTTGCCATCTAGTAGCAAATGATAAAATACAAATAGAAAACAATATACAGCAAACTTCTCAGAAACAGTAAACTTTTACCAACACTGGTCTATGGTAGTGATTTCACTTGCTACGCTTACAAATATATTGCCAGCTAGTTAGCTCCTAGTCCATATGTTAATTTAAAAAGATGTCATCATCCCATGGTGGTCTGCAGGGTACCGTCTTTTCCAGGCACCGCTCATGAACACATGTGAGGCTCCTTACCTTTTTATCTATTTCTATGCAGCAAAGGGCGTTGTCTATCTCACTGCACTGTTTCCCCACAGCGCCTTGCTCAGTGGCTGGCCCACAATAAAGTTCTGTAGTGTTCTGCTAAATTAACAAGTCAGATTCAGGAAGATTCATTTAAATAAGAAATCTCTGTACTTTCTTACTCAAAGAGCTAAAGCTCTAAGATATTACCCAAACGCCTTTTTCACAGTGTTATCAACAAGGTTTTAACTTAATTCCAAAATCATTATGACACCCAGAATTCTAAAATCCCTTGCCTTTGAATAACCTTCACCCTTCAGAATGTGATTATGATGAAACTATCAATGGTTTTGCTCTTTCCTGTTACTTAGGTGGGCCTGATATAATTTGGTGAGATCTTTAAAAACAGGACATTTTTTTCCAGCTAGTAGCAGAACAGTCAAAAAGGTGTGCTCTGGGTAGCCAGGAGTAAAGCAGAGACTCATGCTATGCATTGCCTAAAGGGAACCACATGGCATACACTGATCTCTGCCTCATAATGAGCAGGGAAATGGGGGTCACTATTCTGCACAGACAAAAAGTTATTTCTGCTGACAACCAGTAATCTGTAAAAAGGTCATGAGCCCCAGTTGACAACCAGAACCCAGGAAAACACCTTAATTTCAACCCAGAGAAAGGACAGCAAAAAGCCATCTACTCCATGCCTAGACTTAAAAACTATAGTATCATATGCCAGTATATTTGCAGCACTATGCTACACAGCAATAGAAAACCAATGCATTCATTTAACTTAAATTTGCTTAAAGCACTTTGATATTTGAGCACAATGTTCTTAAGGAACACTGCTGCAGATACACACTGTATCAGACCCAGGAGAAAATTAGCAACACCAACAAACAACCGTAGACTTAAGAGATTGTTGCATGACATAATTCTATCAGTTTACAAAGCTCTCACTCAAATTTTCCACACTAGGTTTGTACACAATTTACTCCAGTCTCCACTGCAGCTGAGTTTGTGTGAATAACACAGGTATCAGTATCTGCTGTGTATTTTCATCCAGGAAAGTAATCTATACTTAGTTTTCCACATAGTGCAAAGTAACTGTTCTGGAAAAGGTTCACATTTCCAATATTTGGGACAAACTACTTAAATGTGATCTGGCCATCTCTGTTAACTATGAGTACAAGAGAAATCAGAACCAGGTCGTTGGATATATCCCAAACCTGTCTGGCCATTCACATTGAAGACTAAAAATACCAGGGAAAGTCTGACCTGGGCAATGATCAAGGCAAGTGAAATAACAATAGTGCTCATTCCCTGCTGAAAGATGCATGTTCTGGCAGCTCTTTGAATGAAATTATTGAAGTGCCTAACGTACATGAAGAAAAGGATAGGCAGTCTGGATTCATCAGTGCACAATAGTGCTGGAAAAATAGTTTATACAGTGGTCTCATCCTCCAGTACCCAGAGACACAAGTGAATCCTTAAACAATCTGTTGGCAACCTAAATAAACTCCTCCCTGCTCCAGAGAGAATTTTCTTTATTTCCACAACAAAATGCTTATGGTCAGTGCACTAGAAAGTGTTGGTAAAGATTTAACCTCACACAAAATAAAACATAGAGACAGAAACATGATATGTCAAAATGAAAAAGAATTAGTGGGAATCACTAAACAAAAAGGTACATTCTTCCAACCAACAAATATGAGCCCTTTTATCCATTGCTAATTTTTACATGCATTCCTAGTGCCAAGATTTTAACTTTTGTTCTAATTCTCCACTGAGAAAAAAAGAAAGAATCCTTGCAAGGTAATAGACTCTAGCTCACAGAGCAGGAAGTACAAAAACAGCTGGGAAATACCCAACCGAAAAGTAGGATATTTTCAAGTATCAGGGAAAATGCTAGTAGAGCAAAGAAATTTGCCTAAAGTGGCTCCCACTGACCAAACTGTGAATATATATATATGACTATCTAAAGGGAAAGTAAAGTATGCCTTAATGAAATGAATTATTGAAATACCATGAGTTCTTTATTGACTTCAAAGGATAAAAGTTGCAACAAAGGGCAAATGAGATAATATAAAAGGAGGAATATAATAAGAAGGGCTTAATTTTAATACAGGACACAGCAAAAAATAATCAAGTTGTGTTAGACAAAGTAGGAATAGGCAGAGCTGTTTGAAGCACATGAGTAGACAGGCTAAGCTCCAGGAAAGAAGAGCAACAAGGCTTGCTCCAGTGAAGGCAGACACAGCCAGCATAACAAAGCACAAAGCTAAAGCTTCCCAAAGTGACACCTTACAAAGCACTCATCTGGCAAAGACACCATATTTCAAGGAAAATCTACATGAAACCAATACAAAAGACACTTTTAAAAAATAAGTTAACTTTTACAGTTAACTTATTATAGTTAACATCTATGAAATTTAATACTAAAATGGAAATTCAGCTTGGCTCTCAAACAGTGATTTAAATATGAATCACTAATTTGGAAAAATCAACCAAGAATCAAAGATCAACAACTCAGACCCTGTAACCCAGGCAGTTATTAGTACACACTATTTTACTTGTTAAGTCTACAAGGATTATACAACCAAAGAAAATGTTATTATGGAACTCCTTGGAAGGAATCTAAATGAATAGATCTATAAGCCTAGGA